GGACTTGAGGATCTTTTTCCAGCAAATACTAGAAAAGATCATCTGAGAGATGAATATTGACCATCATCCCACTACACCTTCTGAGGGATATTCTGCAAGTACCCGCATGTTTGACTCTGTCTCACAGTCCTTATATTATTGAAAGTCCTTTCTGTTATCTTACTTAAAGTTTCTTGTACTTCAGCATGAGTCATGCTCTCTTCTTATAGCAAGGGAGTACTGCTATAAAATGGACATTTTAACTACATAGCAACATCCTGTTTCATCTGAAGCTCTGTTGCTCCTTCATTTGCCTGGTTTACAAGTTATCATACTGTATTATGGAATGCTGGGCCTAAGCCAGACCTCTTCATTCACATGAGGAAACTGAGGCTCAGAGAAGTCCATTACCTAGCTATGATTCTACAGCCAGTAAGGCATAAGAGCTGAGTTAGAACTCAAGTTTTCTGAGTCCCAAATCTAGAGTTTTTTTCTCTTCCCTTTCACTGAAGGGCTCCTTTTACTGGTCACATGTCTGGAAGTGACCCAGGCCCTTTCATATATCTCTAAGAGCCAATGTCAGATGTTTTATCCTGGGAGTCAGAAGACCCAAGAATCCCAGTCTTAAGCCTCTTCAGAATTGCTCCTCTGAACTGGGCGTGGTGGCTCATGCCTGTAATCCTATTTTGGTAAGTCAAGGCTGGAGGATTGCTTGAAGCCAGGAGTTCGAGACAAGCCTGGGCAACAGAGGGAAACCCAGTCTCTACCAAAACAAAAAAAGAAAAAATAAAAGGATTTTTCCCAAGGAGAATGCAAGGAGAATGACAACAGAGCTTTTATTTATGTGCTTTTTAGGGATACCAAATACCATTGGTGAAGCAGGAATGTCTTTTGCAAACTGGGGCCTTTGCATGAGAAGATTCAATTAGAGACAGATAGATAGACAGACAGATATAAAAATATAATTATACATTGTAATTATATATGTATACATTATGTAATATAACATTTTATATTTTTGAATATATGTATTTTGGGGGTAAGGTAAGAATCATAACTTCCACCATTTTTTTTGTTTTGTTTTGTTTTTTTTCCAAGATGGAGTCTCCCTCTGTCGCTCAGGTTGGAGTACAGTGGCACAATCTCAGCTCACTGCAACCTCCACCTCCCGGGTTCAAGCGATTCTCCTGCCTCAGCCTCTCGAGTGGCTGGAATTAACAGGTGCCCGCCACCACACTCAGCTAATTTTTGTATTTTTAATAGAGACGGGGTTTCACCATGTTGGTCAGGCAGGCCTTGAACTGCTGACCTCAGGTGATCCACCCGCCTCAGCCTCCCAAAGTGTTGGGATAACAGGCGTGAGCCACTGTGCCCAGCCACTTCCACTGATTTTTTTAAAAAGGGGTCTAGGGCTTGAAAAAGTCTGAATCATTCATTCATTATTCATTCATTCAACAATTTTTTTTTGAATGCTTATGTAAGGTACTCTACTAGGGCCAGAGAATGTTAATGGAAATATGGAAATAAAATACACATGTTCCTACCCTCATAACACTTTCATTCTAGTGAGAGAACTGAATGACAAACAATAAACAAATAACAACAAAATGTCACCTTAGGACAGACTGCAAAAAAAAAAAAAAAAAAGCTAGGAATTACTGATCTGACTATACTTTGTATTTCTCTCTGAATTTTGTATTTTCACTTTCCTTCTGAGAAAGTCAAATTTCTCTAAAAACACACCCAATTTAACTTCTCAGTTGTAATTTAAAGGATAGTTACATCTCTAAGTCCTCCAAACCTCCACTTCAATGGTTTTGTTTGTTTGTTTGTTTTGAGACAGAGTCTCATTCTGTTGCCCAGGCTGGAGTACAGTGGCAGTGTGTCGGCTCACTGCAACCTCCATCTCCTGGGTTCAAGCAATTCTCCTGTCTCAGCCTCCCGAGTAGCTGGGATTACAGGCACCCACCACCATGCCCATGCCCAACTAATTATATTTTTAGTAGAGACGTGGGGTTCACCATGTTGGCCAGGCTGGTCTCGAACTCCTGACCTCAGGTGATCTGCCCGCCTCGGCCTCCCAAAGTGCTGGTATTACAGGCATGAGCCACCACACCTGGCAGTGGGGTTGTTTTATCCACCAGGCTATTGAATAGATGCATGCTGCTTTCTTCCCTGCCTCACAGGCAGGCAGGATCATTCCAGGTCTCTAGAAATGACAGGTCTGTTTGCCCAGCATGAGCAATGTGGTTTCCCGTGGCAGAATCTCCCTCCCTATAGATTGCAGCTGCTGCTTGTGCAAGACTGAATGATCTGAAAGACTCACAAAAACAGAACACCAAGATGTACCAGTGAATTTTTAAGATTTGTGAACCGTCAGGATATTGTTCAAAATTGTATCAGATTAAATCTTTGCTTATTGCTAAGTGAGTTTTTCATATGTGCATATCTGTTTTATTCAAATGCAAGTGATTTACACAAACCCCCATCTGCAATCCTTAAGACACTCACAGAGTGATGCAGTATTAGGTAACTAGAATTGTATCTATTTTTTTTTGTTGTTGTTGCCTCCCCTGCCATACCAGTTTTTTTTTTTTTTTTTGAGATGGAGTCTCTGTCTGTCACCAGGTTGGAGTGCAGTGGTGCAATCTCGGCTCACTGTAGCCCCTGCCACCCGAGTGCTAGTAGTTCTCCTGCCTCAGCCTCCCAAGTAGCTGGGACTATAGGCACACACCACCACGCCTGGCTAATTTTTGTATTTTTAGTAGAGATGGTGTTTCACTATGTTGGCAGGCTGGTCTCGAACTCATGACCTCAAGTGATCCTTTCGCCTCAGCCTCCCAAAGTGTTGGGATTACGGGTGTGAGAAACTGCACCTGGCCATCGTACCTATTTTTGAACTGGTTGTTCTAAATTCATCTATGTGAGTGGGCAGTAAAAAGAAGGGGTGACCTGTCGAAAGTCTTACAACTCAAAACAAAAAATAAAGAAAGTCCTACAACTCAATGGCAAAGGTGAAATTCAAATCTAAGACATATGATTTCTAGATCTCTGCTCTCCAGGCACGAGATTAGATCCGACAGCCTGACTCAGATTACACCTGTTATGTGCATACAATATTATCAGAATGCTGTGGGGCTCCAGCCTGTTAGAATTTCCTGTTTTAGCTGGGAGTGGAGACTCATGCCCCTGAGCATTTTTGAGGCTGAGGTGGGAGGATCTCTTGAGCCTAGGCCATCCAGGGTGCAGTGAACTATATGACAGTGCCACTATACTCCAGTTAGGGTGACAGAATGGAACCCAGTCTCTAAAAAAAAAAAAATTAAATTTAAAAAACGAATTTTCTGCCCAGTGCTGTGGCTGCTCACACCTGTAATCCCAGCACTTTGGGAGGCCACAGTGTGAGGATCGCTTGAGCCCAGGAGTACAAGACGAGCCTGGGCAGCATAGTGAGACCCCATCTCTCCCCACCAAAAATAAAATATTTGCTGGGCATGGGAATGTGTACCTGTGGTCCCAGCTACTTAAGAGGCTGAGGAGGGAGGATCGCTTGAGTCTGGGAGTTCGAGGCTACAGTGAGTTGTGATCACGCCACTTTACTCTAGCCTGGGTGACAGAGTGAGATCCTGTGTCTTTGGTTTGTTGTTATTGTTGTTTTCTTTTGAGACAGAGTCTCTCTGTCAACCCTGGCTCTTCAAAAAAAATTTTTTTTCTTGTCCTGACTAGTTTTAGGGAAAGTGTCACACCATCAGAAAGGCCAGTTCTGATTTAGAAAAAAAATAAACCTTTTCAATTAAATACGAAGATGTAGTTGTAACACTTTGGACCAAAAATACAAGTAAATTACACTTAAAAAAAAAAGATGTTGGTGAAGGCCATGGACATCACTTGGAAAGTGAGTCATGTAGGGTTAACAATGAGATACCATCAGATTCCCAGGTGAGTGTCTGAAGTCCCATTGGCTGTCCAAAGAGGGTCTGAATTGGTTTGAACTCAACTGTTGACTTCTCTTTTTCATAACCTTTCTTTCTACATCCATCTTCACTTAGTTTCTCCCTCCCATTCCTTAATATACTGGATTTGATGAGGAGATGAATTCCCTTCCTCTGAGAGTCTCTTTGGAGACAGGCTTCAGGTCATGGTATTCCAGCATTTAGGGTGCACGGCAGCCCCCCAGTGAAGGCATGGGAAAGTGTCAGAAAATGAAATGGGCCTCCACTGGAGAGACAGTCCAGCTTCTTTCCCAAGGAGCCATCGGATATTTATAGAGAGCCAGGCTTAGGATGTATGCCCATTGCTGAGAAGGTTTTGTGGCCTGATCTGGTATACATTAGAGGCTCTATCTTTCCATCTCCTCAGTTCATGAAGCGTTAGTTCCTGGCCTAGGAGAAACTGAAAGCCAAACCAAACAGGGGACTTTTCTTCTTCATAGTTATTGTGAGCCAGCCAATTCCAGGATTTAAGCTTAGGCTTGTTAGGCTTTAGTTCTTCTGGGAAATGCCATCTGTTAGGAGAATGGATTTCTGGGCAGCAAAAGTGCTATTAATTCTATTCTAGTGTAGTTGCTGTATGGCAAGGCTCATATTACCCTTCACTCTGGGGGCAGGGAGAAAGGGTTAGGATCAGGCATTTGCCACCATTAAATCCACCCTCTTTTTTGTACATTCTGCCTGTTGTCCCAGTTCACTGCCACACCCTCGCCCCACACATACACACCAGACCTCTCCTTTAGTTTTCAAGCCACTACACAATTGAAATGTTTGTGTGAATTTTCACATACAGTCTAATCTTTATGTCAAGTGTGCAATAAGGCTCAACATTTGTCTAGAGCAAACAAGGAAGTCTTGTTAGGAAATTCGTTCCTTAGGATCTTATGTCTTAAATTGGACTGGTGCCTTTTGTTGTCACAGTTGTTTTTATAATGACATGCACGTAGGTTTGCCTTTCTGAATTCTTATGTTGAATCTACTGTTGGTTGGAACCCACCACTAGCATAAATTTCTACTCTTTCAATCAGTGGGACAAATTCACATGCCAGTCGAGGCTGATTCACCTGTTCAGTGCTGTGAGTGATTTGAAGAGGACCACCTTCTCAGCACTTCTTTGGCCCAGAGTCACAGGAACACTCTTCTCAAGAATGTGGTTCTGGTAAGGGAATTTGTAAAATACTTACAGATTTCAGGAGTCCACAGTTTCAGGCAGAAGGAGAAAACATCTGCTGGTTTGAAATACTGGAGACAAATTCTCGTCCAGTGCCCAGGAAAACTGGTTTTCTGACCAAAGACTCAGGGAGACTGGAAACTCTTGGGATGTGGATGACAGAGGAAGGGGTTAGGGATGGAGAATGGAGTAGAAATCCATGTGTTCAGGACAGAATCAAAGACAGCATCCTTGATTTCTCTCTCCTTCTTACCCTTCATAATCAATCTGTTAGCAGGTCCTGCCAGTCCCACCTTCAAATCATGTCCTTGATGTCCTTCACATCTTCTTCACTATCATCACCTAGCTAAGCCTCGGCCATCTCTCACCTGGTCAACCCCAGTACCTCCTCTGACTAGTTTCTGTGTATCTTCTCTTGCTGCATTCTAATTCATTCTCCATGCAGAAGACAGGGAAATCTTTTGCAATTGCAAATTAGATCACAAGGCTTTCCTGCTGGCATCCCTTGGGCCACTCTCCTTTGTTCCTGGAATTCCATCAAGCCACCTACCATGGCCTACAGAGTCCCCGGTGTTCTGGCCCCTGCTCACCTCTTCTAAGTCTTCTCATTCCTCTCTCCCACAGCCATGGTGCTCCAGTCACACGGCCTCCACTCTATTCCTGGCCAAGCATTTTGGTTTTCTGTATTATTTCTTCTCCTCCTCCTCCTCCTCTTCTTCCTTCTTCTTCCTTCTTCTTCCTCTTCCTCTTCTTCTTCCTTTTCTTCCTTTTTTTTTAACAGGGAGTCACTTTGTTGCCTAGGCTGGAGTGCAGTACAGTGTCCTGATCACAGCCCATTGCAGCCTCAACCTCCCAGGCTCAAGAGATCCTGCCACCTCAGCCTCCTGAGTAGCTGGGACCACAGGTGTATACCACCACACCCGGTTAATTTTAAAATGTTTTCTAGAGACAGGGTTTCACCATGTTACCCAGGCTGGTTTTGAACTCCTGAGTTCAAGCAATCCACCTACCTGGGCCTCCCAAAATTCTGGGATTACAGGCATGAGCTACTATGCCCAGCCTAATATGGGTCATTTTAAGCCCTCCTCAATGTGCATTAAATACTGTACTTGTGTTCAGGCATGGTAGCTCATACCTGTAATCCCAGCACTTTGGGAGGTCAAGGCAGATTGCTTGAGCCCAGGAGTTCGAGACCAGCCTAGGCAACATGGCGAAACCCAGTCTCTACCAAAAATACAAAAAAAAAAAAAAAAAAAAAAAAAAAAGCCAGGCATAGTGGCGTGCGCCTATAGTCCCACCTACTTGGGAGGATGGTTTGAGCCTGGGAAGTGGAGGTTGCAGTGAACCGAGATGGCACCACTGCACTCCAGTCTGGGTGACAGAGCCAAACTCTGTCTCAAAAAAAAAAATAAAAAATACTATACTCGTTTACTGAATGATTGTTTATTTGCCCCCACTTACCCTTTGAAATTTACCAAAGATAAGTGACGAGGATTAGCAACCATTCTTTATTTCCCTGTTCCATCTGTTCTGAGTTAGGAGAAAGACAAAGCAAAATGCAATCTCACCAACAGCAATATCAACAACAGAAATCCCTTGAGCCATGTAGCCCCTAGCAGCTAGCCAAGGAAGGCAAGCTGGGATTTGGGAACAAGTGGGTAACCTGGAGCGGAGCGGCCACAGGAGGGATAAGCAGCTTCAACAGCCAAAGATTTTCCCTTAGTCTTAGGAGGTGACATAAGCAACTTTCCCAGAACCGTCTTGACACAAGCAATAAATTAAGTAAACAAGGCAGAAGGTCGCCAGAACCTGGTCTCACCTAGTCCTGATGTGACTCTCTGGTATCACGTGGACCAGGAAGCTGGAGGGAAAGTCTTCTCATCCGCCAGTCTGCCTAAAAACAAACCTTTCTGCTTGTGTGGTGGAGGAGTTGCAGAACTTGTAGTCAAAGCATGGTGGTGGAAGGGAAATCACTGTGGGCACTTGAAATACCCTAATGATTTTAAGGGCTTCTGGAGACAAAAGGGGATTAAACTTCAAATTAGGGAAAAGTAAAAACTCAGTTAACTCATTAGCTGGGCTCACCTAATTAATCTTAGTAGCCTGGGGCACAATTCAACCCAACAGAATTTACTTACCTCTGGAGACTTTAATAAGCTCTGAAGCCAGAGGCCCTGCCCCCATTGCTATGGGATGGGAGAGTTGGGCGGGTGGGGGAGAAGGAGATAAGGCTTGGAGCTGACTGGTTCTGGGGACAAAAGAGTCCTAGGCAGGAGGAGCTGGCTTTGTTCCCTTCTCTGATCTGAGTCTTCCATTCTAACCTGCTTTCAGCTCCACTTATTCATTCAGCCATGCATTCATTCCATAAATGTTCAGTTCCTACTATGCCCTAGGCTTGCTAGGGCTGTAAATTTACTACAGTGTTAAATAAGATATGCAAGATCCCCAGCTTCTGGAAATTTACATTCTAGTAGGGCAGACATTTGAAAAATAAACAAGAGCCAGGCATGGTGGTGGGTGCCTGTAGTCACAGCTACTTGGGAGGCTGAGGTGGGAGGATCACTTGAACCCAGGAGTTCAAGACCAGCTTGGGCAACACAGCGAGACTCAGTCTCTACAATAAGTAAATAAATAAATAATACAAAACAAGTGAAGCACAGGAAAACTGAGAAGTTCTGTGGAACAATTAAAGGGCATACCCACTGAGTAAAGACCTCTTTCAGGAAGTGACGTTAAGTCCAGTATCTGGAAGGAAGGCTTCCTCATTGCTTCTTTTCATGCTTTGGAGATTTTATGAGTGCATTTCTCCATTTATCAAACATCTAGTGGTAGTATACAGATGAAATAATTAAAAACCAAAATCTAGTGAGCACCTTTTACGGCCAAACCCTTTGCTTGCTGGGCACTGCCAAAGAAAAGATTGATAAGTCAGGGATCTGCCCTAGAAGAATTTATAATTGAGTGGCAAAGCCTGACAGGTCAACAAGAAAACACTTATGAAGGATAATTTGGCACAGCTGAGCCAGGTGGTCTCTAAGGTCATTCCTTTGTCTAAATATTCTATTGTCTAATAAGTTCCTACTGCATGTCTAGTACTTTGGGGATGCCCATTCTCTCCAAGGCTCTCATAGCCTAACTGCAGAGAAAAGGCTTACATGTATGAAATATTAAGATTGTAGAAACCAGCACCTGTGGTGATTCCTATGTTCTCACTTTGACACCTGTGTACCCCAGAGATCACTGAGGCTTTTAAGATCCATTAGGCTTAGCTCTTGCCCATTAACCATTTTTGGATTTCATCTAGTTTATGGCAAAATATATGCACCTTGCCTTTTTTTTTTTTTTTTTCAGGGACCTCTGAGAGGGTCTGGAATTAGGGTTCAGATACCATCCATCTGTTATGTGCTTTGAAGATGCCACTCCATCTGTGGGATTCAATTTACATAAACTGAAGACTATTCTTCTGAGTTGAAGTAAGGAGAGGCATCTATCCTCTCCTCCTGCAAAATTATTTGATCTCCTGGAAGCAAAAAGCCCACTATGAAGTTGTTCTTGCCATGGACTTCTGGAGGAGCTGACTGTCCTTTGGGAAGCTACAAATACAGCCTTAAAATCTGTTAGCGGGGAAGAGAGAGAGGCTTTTTCTGAGTGATCAGGTAGGTGAATCCTCCTCTTCCTCCTTTTTCCTCTTTTCCATAGCAATCTGCAATCCCAACCACCCCAATCCCCTGATATTTTGCTGAAATCGCTTCCACTAAATTCCTGATGACCTCCAAATCCACTTGTAACTATGGAGCATCCGCATCTCTTGAAATTCTGTTTTCCTTTGGCTTTTGGGGACACCTCTCTTCCTTGGTTCTTGTCCTGTGTTTCCGGCTGATTATCTTTTAATCTTCACCTCCTTTGGCTGCCCTTTAAAATGGGTGTTCCTGGAAGTCCTTAGTTTTCTCCTCTACTCACTCTATTCACAGTTTTGGGGCATTGATAACCAAAATCTCTCTCTCTACATGAAATCCATGTAGACATGGATTTCAAAATGGTGGGATCAGATCTCCAAAGTGTGTATGAGGTCTTTATCTGTCATCTGATTTTCAGACACATGTAGTAAACTGCCTTCTAGACTTTCATTGGGTGAATTTAATTCCTAAACCAGTTGTCCTGTTGTTCCAGTCTTACAGACTGGTACTACCAAAAACCTAGGGGCTATTTAGACTTCTGCTCTCTGTTATATCATTTATTCAGTGGAAATATATTGATCTTTTACTATATTCTGGGCAGTGGACCATGTGCTGTAGGTACAGCCTCTGCCCCAAAGAGACTCATAATCCAGGAGACAGGTAAACAATCAGAGAAACACACTGTATGATGTAATCAGAGGGATAAGTCCATGAACAGAAGCACGTTCTAGATGTAAGACATAGAGAAAGCACAGCAGAAGGACTGACTAGGAGATGGAATAGGAAAAAAGGCTTCTTTGAGGAGCTGATGCCTAGGATGGGTTGTGAAACACAGATGGGACCAGGTGCAGAGGTGCATGCCTATAGTCCCAGCTATTTGGGAGGCTGAGGTAGGAGGGCTGCTTGAGCCCAAGAGTTAGAGCATGTAATGTGCAATGATGGTACCCACGAATGGCCATTGTGCTCCAGGGTGGGCAACATAGCAAGACACCATCTCATAAAAAACAATCAATCAAACAAAACAAAGAGAATGGAATTCCCATGACAAGCGGGGAAGGTGCGGTATTTTAGGCATTTCAGACTTCATGTAAAACTTATGGGTGCGTGAAACCAAATAACATTTAACTAAACAAATATGAGCAGTTTGATATTGAAGGAGTATAAAGTTTAAGGCAAGGGGAGATTTGACAGGAGGTGAGCCAGAAGTAGTAGGTAGGGGCCAAATCATAAGGGGTCTGTATAATAATAAGAGCAATAATAGCTACAATTGGCTGGGCTCAGTGGCTCATGTCTGTAATCCCAGCACTTTGGGAGGCTGAGGCAGGTGGATCACTTGAGGCCAGGAGTTCGAGACCAGTCTGGCCAACATGGTAAAACCCCGTCTCTACTAAAAATACAAAAATTAGCCAGGCATGGTGGTTCTTGCCTGTAATCCTGGCTACTTGGGAGACTGAGGCAGGAAAATTGCTTGAGCCCAGGAGGCAGAGGTTACAGTGAGCTGAGATTGCACCACTGCACTCTAACCTGGGCAACAGAGTGAGACTCCATCTCAAAAAAAAAATAAATAAATAAATGAAAAATAATAATAGTAATAGGTACAATTTATAAAGTACACTTTACATACAGAACCACTATTGCTCAATCACCCTGTATTATTATTCATACTTTACAGCAAGGGACCTAAGAGGCTGCATATCCCATACAGTTGTTTAGCTGAAATCCACATCCAGGATTCTTTGATTCCAAATTGTAGGCTCTGGCCAAGAGCTTTGCTTATGCTTATAATCCTAGCACTTTGGGAGGCCAAGGAAGGAGGATCACTTGAGCTCAGGGTTTGAGACCAGCCTGGGCAACATAGTGAGACCTCATCTCTACAAAACAATACAAATAAATGAGCTGAGTGTTGTGGCACACACATGTAGTCCCAGCTACTCAGGAGGCTGAGGTGGAAGGTTCCCTTGAACTCAGGAGTTCAATGCTGCAGTGAGCTATGATGGTGCCATTGCACTCCAGCCTGGGTGACAGAGTGAGACTCTCTCCCTCTTTCTCTCTCTCTCTATATATGTATATATACACACACACACATATACATATACGTATGTGTGTGTATATGTATATATATATGTGTGTTGTGTGTGTGTGTGTATATATATATATACAAAACCAAAGCCTAGGCTCTTTGCTGTCTACCACACCTCACTTGCGCGATGCTCAAATGCCCTTCCCTCATGGAGTTTATAATCTAGCACAGGAAACATTAGCATCCTCTTGTCTATCCTTTTGTGTGAGTCTCTACTTCAGTTGGAGGAACTGGCACTGAAGCTATAAGGATGGAGGAGGATTACAATAAGCCAACGATGACATACCCATCCTTTTTGACAGTGGTTGGTTTAAAAACCAAGGCTTAGTCTAGCAACTGATTAAAAGACATATAAAATGTGATATATTCATACAGTGGAATATTATTCAACAAGAAAAAGGAATAAAATACTGATACATGCAATAACATGGATGAACCTTGGAAACATTATGCAAAGTGACAGAAGCCAGTCACTAAGGACCTCATATTGTATAGTTACATTTATATAAAATGTGTGGAATAGACAAATCTGTAGAGGCAGAAAGTAAAGTAGTGGCTGCCTAGGGCTGAAGGGAATGGGGGAGTTGGAGGATGGTGGCTAAAGGGTGGCAAGTTTATTTTGGAGATAATGAAAATATTCTAAAAGTGATCGTGGTGCTGGATACACAACTCTGTGAATATACTAAAAGCTATTGAATTTAATACTTCAAATGGTGAATTGTATGGCATGTGAATTGTATTTCAATAAAGCTGTTTTTAAAAAGGCTAAAGTTAACAGTCCCGTGGAGGAAAAAGTGTTTAGTGCAGGGTGAAGAAGACTGCATGCCTTGAGTTGGGAGGGGAGGGGAAATGACTTCTGCTGTTTGTGAGGTCAGAAACTAGGGTGAGGCTCCCTTGGCCACAGATGGTGGTGGCGTATGGTTCTGAGGTAAGTAGAGACATTTTTAGTTCCATAATAGTTCTTTTCCCTGGCTTCCAGGCTTCCTACCCTGCTTCCTCACCACCTCCCACTTTGCAAATCATCTCTAGCATCATCCAAATCTGACCTTGGCAGTTCCCTACTTAAAATCCTCCTGGGCACTCTTGTTGCCTTCAGGATAAGGCCCAAATCTTCACACTCCTTTGCCAGCCTATGAAGCCCCTTGTGGTGTCACCCTCCCACCCCTCTGCTTTTGTCTCCCACATGTATCCATGGCCACACTGGTTTGTTGTCTCACAGCTCTGCCTCTCCCAGGGTGCTGAAATTCCTGCCTGGAATGCCCTTCCGCTTGCCTGACTTCCTAATCCACCCACCATTCAGTGTGGCTCAAATATCACCTCCTCCAGGAAGCTTTGGACTTGTCCAGGCTGGGCTAAAGGTCGTCCCTCTTTTGTGTTCCTAGCACGCTTTTATATACATTCTGGCTATCTAATCTATGCACTTGTTATTACCCACTTCTAATTGTGTTAGTTTCAACTCTTAGTCTGAATTCTTACCACTTGACCTTGGCCAAGTTACTTAACCTCTCAATATACTGATCAAAAAGGGGATTAAAAACAATATCTTCTTCCTAAATGTGCTGTGAAGATTAAAGTTATTAAAAATATGAGAAAATGTGTTAAAGCCATATATATTGTGTATATATTATATATTAAAATATATATTCAAATGCTTTGCACCATGTCTTGCACAGTGTAAGTACTACGTAAATGAAGATTTTATTCTGGCTGTTATTATTGATCATTTATACTAAACTGTAAGCCCCTTGAGAATAGTGACATATTTATCTAATCTACTGCTTGACATCTGGTATACTAGTATACTGCCTGACATCTGGTAAGCATTCAGGAGATACCTGGGTCTATGTCTCCCCCATGTTTTCCATGCTGGCTTCCATGCTGGCTTTGCCATTTTAAGTATTTTGTATTCACAAAGACTTGGTGAAACTATAACTCAACTCTTTTTTTGTTTTGCTTTTTCTTAATTAAGTAATCCTCCCTCCTCAGCCTCCAAGGAGCTGGGATTACAAGTGTGTGCCACCCATGCCTAACTCTACTCTTGGACTTTTTGATTTTCAAAGAATGTGGTAGTGTGGGGGAGGAGGAATTTGCATGGGGGAAAAAATCCAACTTTCTGAGACAGTCCCAGAAGAGATGAAGAAAGATGAGGTTTTTTTTATTTTGCCTAGGTACCTGGAGGCTGGGAGGCTTTATCTGAACAAGAATATCTGCCTCATCCTTGAAGACAGAGGGGGGAATCGTTCCTCTCCATGCTTTTATTAGAACATTTGGAAATCCTGAGAACAGGGAGTTCTTTTGTCAGATAAAGGCTCAGGCAAATGGGGAGCTAGACTAGATGAAGTCATTGTTGTGGGTATATTTTCCAAACTCTAAGGAAGACAAACTATGGCTCAAAAGAATTGTTTTTATCCTGATTTGTGATTTTATTTATATAGGAAGTGGTGCAAAGATATAAAACACTGAAATTGCATGAATGAATTATCTTTATTAAAGATAGACAAAAGAAACAAGTGTAGTCAAAAATACTTCAGTGTTTGTAATGTTTTATATTAAAGAAGGTTTAGTTCACTGGGCACATTGGCCAAGAGGTTGATCAGAACGGGGCAGAGGGCAGTGTATGAGGTGTAGATAATGTATATATTGATCCGAATGGCAGCTTTATGGTTGTATATATTTGTAAAAATATATCAAGTATCATTCAAAGATTTGGGCAATTCAATAAAAAAGTTCAGGGAAAAATCTTTAGTGAATAAAATGGTGAGAATTGTAATTCTCACCGTTTATTTACAATAGAAGTAGATAGAGTATTTTACTCATATTTGCATGTTTGATGAACTCAGTTTACTAAGTCATTGTGATGTTTGCTAACTTTTTCAGATATTATTTGTAGGAATATTAG